ATAGTTTAGACGTAATTAAACTCCCTGTTAGCAAATAAAATTGTTAACTTAACGACGAACAGTTTAAGCTTAACAACACTAATCTGTTAAGCTCAATATTTCAAATTTCGAGAACGAATATTTTTAATAGATATAAAATTGTTATGGATTACCGATAAAATAATACCATGTCATAAAAAAATAACCAAAACATCTTAAAATATACAATGTAACTTATATCTATGAATAAAACTTCGTTTTATTTTTTTAATGAGGAATTGAGGAAATAATGAATGTTCATACTAATATTATATAGATTATTATATTATAATTCAAGTAGTAATAACTACAAACGAGAACGTCTCCTCAAAGATACTGTAAATCGTGACGAATAAATAATTTATTCTCTTACTTTTCTCTGCTTATTATAATGCAAACAAATGGAGTAATTGGTCATATCCCACCATATTAATACGAAAATTATTCTTAATCCTTTCTTGATCTTTAATAGATTTCACAGTGCGAATGGGGGTGATCTATTTTGAACTTCCTCCTTATTTTAGTTATCCTCCTGTTCTCAATGACGGTTGCCGGAGGAGCATCTCATATTGAAATTCGTCGTTTCAACTTCTTCATTATTGCCGGTTCTTTTAATTTCTCGCTTTAACATGTCGTATTTACATATCCTGCTAAAAAAATAATTCGAGCGAGTTCATTTTAGCGTTGTTCGTTGAATAGGAACGATAAGGTATTATAAGAGATATGAAAAATACAATAACCCAAAAAATAAAAACATTTTTATTTTTTTTTTATTTAAAAGGGATTAAAGAATAAAAAACCAGTTGCGTCAAAAAATGATGTGAAAAAAAATTTTAAAACATCATATTTACCAATTTTAGACAGAAATACTATTTATTTAAAACATTAAAGATGTTGAAGATTGATCCCTTTGATTGTGAATCTATTTGATTTATTATTTTTCAGATTACTTAAATGTCTGTTCAATGTTTTTGATGCGTTTAAGGATGACAATTCATCATGCTAAAAATATTGCCAATAGATTTAAATTGTCTAAATAAAAAAATATTATAAATAGAATGTACATGTTGATAATATTAAATTTTATGATGTGACGAAGGATGTACTACAATTGATTCATCATTTCCATTTTTTTATTTTTCAATTGTTATCCTAACTCTGACAGTACTCTATACATATTTAATGATGGTATTTAGGATAGTTGACCACGTTAATTCGGATTTGGACATATCAAAGGATGAATTTATTCGTGTTTTTCTCACTTGTGTATACAATCTTATATCTACTATTGGACCAGAACATGGATATATGACTTCCGAACCATCAAATTGTTTATTTGCATTAAAACTTGGATAGATACTTAAGTCAAAACTGGGAATTATAGGCTGCTTCTTTATTGAATTAAGATATCAGCTATAAAAATTATTGTGTATAAAGACAAATGTTGTGAATATTTATAATACATATTTAATAATTAATTTTTTTTTTATTGTAAATAAAATAAAATAAATAATTTCCGAAAAACTGACTTGACATATCAGCTTGACTTAGCCATAATACATTTATTCGGATTTGAACCATCTTTTTCTTGCTCGCTAAAAAATGAAATTACAACATGAGAAATTCCGTTTAAAACCAATGCTATGTCAAATGCAATCAAAAATTAATTATTTGCTTGCAAATATATCTAGAATGCAACTAAAATAACAAACAATCGGTACGATTTAATTCTTTTCAAGAAATAGATTAATGTAAGATTTTTCAAAAATTGTGCTGCATTCTTCATTTGCATAAAGTTGCTTAAAAAAACATTGATACAATTATCATACGATTGTTAAATTTGCTAAATTGCAAGATGGTTCACGCGGAATATTTTCTACGACTCTGTGGAAAGATAACAACAGTATATGGCTTATTTGTATGAAAATAAAGGAAATAAAAGAATTTATGCTTAGTACTATATTTCTAAACAATCCATTAACGCCCTTTATAACACACTATAGCACAATGGATTGAAATGGGGTTTGGGATGTGATGATGTATGATGAAAATTTCGTCCTGTCCAACCATAAAGTGGTCAAGATTGTTCCTGATAATTGGATTAATTTTGATATTGTTAAAGGGAGAAAATTGTTGCTGTTTATGTAAAGTGTACTTTACATTTCACTGTGTCACTCTGTGAATTCTCGAATTCTCCTCGTTTCAATACTCATGACAATTTTTAAAAGGATTTTAAGTTATCATAAATTTAATAACAGTTCAAAAGGGATCCAATTAATGAATTTGGTCTCTTAAAATACACCAATACCAATGATATTTGATGAACTATTGAATTTAAAATCGATCTGGTATGATTCCATGAGGATTAATTATAAATTTTTAATATTTCTTTGAGCGTTAATTATATTAAGAAATAATTCCTCCTTATCATCCTTCTTCTTGAAATGATCATTTAATAAAAAATGAGTTATATAATTACATGATCGAGGTAAAGATTTTAAAAAGAATACGTGTTTGAAAAGGTGTGAAGGGGTTCTAAATCAGAGCTGAATTGAAAACTTTTAAGGTTTGAAAAGGATTTTGAAGATAGGATAATAAAAAAGGTAAATCAAGTTCGTTATTTCTCAAAACATTTTGAATAAACTTTGGGAAATTTTGTTTGAGATTGTATTTATAATCTGACAGTTATATTTTGAAAATATCTAAACTAGTATTAGTTTTAACCCAAAATTTTACAATTATATACATCAGGTCATCATGAAAATCTTTAAAAAACTCGGCTTTTCTAATTCATCAATAATCGGAGGTATTTTTTTAAATAAATTTTCCTCAAACTTTGCCGTTGGGTATAATTCAGGATAAAGTTTATAAAGTTGTCTTTCTTCGCCATTGAGGAACGCAAGATAGGTTCCCGTTAGAAAAAATGAATCGTCTTTTTTTTTAATTTTGAATCAAGGAATATGAACGACTCCAAAGTATAGGTAAAATCACCACAATCTATCCACCAATAACATGTATGTAAGGCTGTTTTATCATTCTCAATATGGGTAATATGCTATTAAAATTGAGGTACGAGATATAGTAAATCATATGATCCGTACCTCAATTTTAATAGCACACCACCCATATGGTTAAATATTCTATTAAAACATTCGATTGGAAATGAAGATTCAGACATTAGTTTTTTATTTTCTTTACGTTTTCCATATTGAAAATTTTAGATGAGCTATAATGCTGACGATGATGTCGTGTAACGCAGCTTAATTTAAATATTGCTTCGTGGTTTAGCACTTCAACTTCTCTAATTTATTTTATTTGGTTCTTTTTTTTTGGTTTTTATTTTAAAATGGATAAAATTGCTATCAATATGTATTGAATTTTATGTTCAATATTTGTCACAGACACATATCTGAAGACCAAATTCCTAAAGATAACGTTCAAATAATGAGGAAATATATTTTTTCAAGGAATCTTACCGTTCACCTTAAAGAAACGATTTCACGAAGGAAAAAGAAATATTATGAATTTGGATGGGATCAAGATGATTTATTAACGGAACTAGTCCCATTATCTTATACCCCACGTAGAAAGTTTGAAGAGTACACATATTAAAACGATGAATAAATGGTTTCTTGACCCAAGAAAGCACAATATGAAATTTGAAGCCGAGTTAAATTCAAATGAAGAAGTTATGACTGAAATCATCTTAAATCAAGAAAGATACTTACCAGGATTTAAATATTTTATGAATATAATTGGGTTTATACAAATGAAAGGATGATGTTACTCTTGAGGGTGTTTTGCTATTTATTTCTGTGGTTGTAATTATGGCTATAGTTGAAGTTAAACATATTAATAAAGCTCATCTTAAGGAGAATTGAAAGGAAATTAAAAGTGAGGTTAAGAAACTTAAGTATCTTACTGATAAACAATTCGATTCAAGGGTTGTTGCGGTAATCGGATTATATGCCAATAACGATAAAAACGGTCAAATAGTCTTGGATTACTTTGATATTTATCATAAAATGCTTGCATAAAAGGCTAGACGATTCTTGGAGAAGGGTAATCCTGATTTTTTTTTTAATTTATTACATTAATGTTAATAGTCAATTATTATTTAATCGACAAAATTTTTGATTTGATTTTTAATTAGAATCGGATACGTTGTTAAACTTAAACTGTTCGTCGTTAAGTTAACTAAGATTATTTGCTAACAGGGAGTTTAAGTTCGTCTAAACTATGGAAGAAATAAACACG